TAAGGTTGTTAGAACAAAAGGCAAAAAATATTTTTTTTCGACAAAAATCCGAATTTTTGAAATTCCCGGGTGCGCGGTCTTAGTTGGAACGCCCCGTTGCGAAGTGCTGAATCGGCGCTCGCGGGGCCCAACGAGCGAGCGATATGTCCTCGGAGCACCCATTTGTACTCGCGCTTAACTTTACAGCCCCCCTCATCAGGAAATCATCCCACTCAAACACACGCACACCTGCACCGCTAGTCTGTGTGCCTCTTACGTAACGGACGGGTCCGACAGACACCCCTCGTGTGGGTCGCGGCAGAGTAGGAGGTAGGAGAGTAGGGGAGAGGGAAGCCTTGCGCGCGCTTCGAACGACTCACCGCTGCTCCTACCGCTCCACCACTCCGCTGCTGCGCTTTGGGGTGTCAGCTGATTCAGGCTTCTCGGTGCAGTCGTTCTGACTCAGCTGGCCCGTTTCCCTGCCACCACCCTCCCCCCTTTCCCCCCCACGCCAGGCGAACCCCCCGCCTCCCACCGCGCCCAGGCTGACGACTGACTCACCGAGCTTCTATGGCAACCACGTTCCTTTTCGTCTTTGGTTTTTGATCCAAAACAACTAGAAATGATCCCTAACACGCGCTTGATGACGGCGTAACATTCCAATTACTTTGCTCAACAATTACACGTCAGACATACTGTTTGTCAGTGTGCAACATCTGACTTCTGCAAAATTAATGTTATCTACTTTTTTTTATTTTCTTTCGGCTTGGGTGGGACTCGTTTCAAAATATCTACACGTTTGCTAAATGTGTCGCGGTGTCGTCAGACACTCTGCCTCTATCGATCAGCCACTTCACCAATTTTCTATTCCAACTAGTTGGACCTATAGGGCAAGAATTGATCTCATCGCAGAAAATTAATGGGACACTGATATGAGACGACCATTTGGTTTTCACAAAATTTTGAGCCTATTTTCATTGAAGATTTTCTGCAACATCATCCATGTTCAGCAAAGCATCCAAGCACTGATGATATCACCAAAAAAAATAAAAATAAATAAAAGCTAGGTGACACCTTTAGTTACTTACGTATTATTTATGTTTAGTCAAAGGGTTTTTAAGGTATTGTGTGCCAAAAGTTACAGTCTCTCTATACTGTAAGGAATAGCTTCGATCGCCTCTGTCCCGTATTGTACCCCTTGTGAGGTACCCCCTCCCTGCGAAGTACCCCCACTGAGAAGTACC